TAAATACGTCAGAGAGCAGTTTCTGAAGGAAGCTGATAATATCCTTCTCCTCTAGTCTCTCAGCAATGCCCAAGAGGCAAAGATTGTGTCTTCAAGATCTGTTTTTGAAATCATCCTATTTATCCTAGTCTAAGCTTTAAGGAGGCAGTTCCTTCTTTAATTTCCTTAATTTCAATGGCAGCCTTTTGTAGCTAATTTTCCAAGTGAGTCAGAGAGCAGTTTCTGAAGGAAGCTGATAATATCCTTCTCCTCTAGTCTCTCAGCAATGCCCAAGAGGCAAAGATTGTGTCTTCAAGATCTGTTTTTGAAATCATCCTATTTATCCTAGTCTAAGCTTTAAGGAGGCAGTTCCTTCTTTAATTTCCTTAATTTCAATGGCAGCCTTTTGTAGCTAATTTTCCAAGTGAGTTATTTGGGATTTTACATCACATACATCTTGAGAGAGGCCACACATATCTTTTGAGATTGAATCCAATATATCAGTTCGGCAGGGCTCGCCAGGTGGCGGCGAGCTCTGTTTGTGTGCTGTGTGGAATAATTTAAAATCGAGGGCAGAAACTTATTACCAGTTTGCCAGGAAAGTAACTGTTAGAGATGAATTGATGTGTTTTGGAGGTCTGAAACAAGGCAGCCATTCTCCTGCCAGGTGCCATGTGACCCACTGCTTCTTCTTTTCCCCAGTCCTTCTTGGGGAAGGAAACAAAAGCCCCAAACCCAAATTTCTTTTTCCATAGGTTGCCAAAGGACTAGATAGAAAAATCAAGCAAGAAGGGAAAGGATGGGAAGGGCTAAGAAAAGAATGGAGCAGGAAAAGTGCAAATCCTACCCTTAAAAAAAAAAACCCATACCCAGTTCACACAGAGAGACAGACAACTTTGAAAAGTCTATTTTTAAAAGTTTTTTTTAATTCACAATTCAGATTTTTAAATAAAAAAATTAATCTTGACCACACCAAAGGATGATCTGTAAGATTTCTTTAGCAAGTACCATCCTCCTGAAGGCAAAGTCTACTCTACACAACAGAAAAAATTATCCTATTTAAAAATAGAATCTAAAAAAAATAACTGAAATTTAAATTTGCTTCCACCAAATATTGTTTTTATCCCGTTGTCCCCCAATTCTGCCCAATACTTTGTATCCAGTTTATACTTGGCAATCTTCTGCTGATATTATATCAATGAAACAGGATATTTTGTTCCTATACTGTGATGGGATGCTCGCTGTATATTTGCATTCTTGCTTCAGCTTGAATGCTTTCTGTTACAGAAATCCACCTCCACCCTTGGACCTGCCCTCACCACAGAAAGCAACACTGATATGTTTATATAAGCTGCACTGCTCTCTCCCTCCCCAACTATCAGTAACCACATTTTGTACTTTTGTAATGTGTTCATTCAAAATCTGCAGGATACCTACCAGAATTGCAATAAGCAATCAGAACAATGAAGACAGTGAACAGGATACAGTTCATTTTGTTCATATTTCTTCCAGATTCTGGAAGTAAGAATAAATGAAAAATGGTTATATGTTCCTTAATTTATAAAACTGAAAACCAATGAAAGTTCTGATTCAAAAAAAGACTAAGGTCTAGTATTCTGAACATGTGAATAGGAGTCAGGAAGTCCCAAATTCTAATCTTGGCCCAGACAGATTATTTTTGTGACATTGGGCAAATCACATTACTTTTACATGCTCAGCTTCCTTCATGTGTAAAACGGGGATGATAGTCACTTACCTTACAAAAGGGATGTACTGAAGAATAATTCACTGGTATTTGATACAAAGTTTATTGACATCAGAAGGCTTTGGACAAAGCCCTTGACATTTGCAAAACATTAAGATATCACATCTGCAAAGAATTATTGGATACCAGAGACAGTTGTGGCAGATACCCAGGAAAAGAACACTAGAACATTGTGTCATCATGAGGCAGCGCCCAGACATGCCTAATTTACTGACGTCTGCTCTCTGCGTTTTCTATTTTTTTCTTGATAGCCTACCAGACCCAAATTAGACTTGCCTGTTGGAGCACAATACAACTCCTGTTTGTAGCACATTTACCCCCTCCCACCCATCTTTTCATCTCAAGTTGTTTGGCTGTTTGAGTATGTGTCACAGAGCACCAGGGGCTTTTTTTTACAGCACATCTCATCTTTACTAGATGCATCATTTCATGAACAAGCTTTTAAGGCTCAGTACAATTCCAAAAAGAAAAGGGGAAGGGAGAAATAAGGGGACATCCACATATATGTATCCCTAAGACAACTGTGCCAAAACCAATGGCACAAGATTTCATGGGCAAAAACTAAGACTGGCAATTAGTAGGTGTTAATGCCTGTGATTAACACAGGGCAGAATTAATGTGTTAAAAAAATTAACTTGCGTTAATCACAGATATCTGCAAACCAGCATGAGCTGCTCCAGAGCCTCTCTGGAGAGGCGTAGTAATGCAAACTGCCACCAGGGGGAGAATGGAAAAACGAAGCAGCCAAAAAGGAGGAAAAAACCCTGAAGCTCCAATAGAGGAGTAAACAAGAAAAGTTTACCCAGAATCCCTTACCCAGCTGTTCTGTTCCTCCTGTGCCTGGCTCGGGGGCGGGGCTCGTTCAGAGGGAGGGGTGAGTTCATTTGGATGGAGGCTCTGTGGGGTCTGGCTCAGGGGGAGGGGTGAGTGCTTTGGGATGGGGGGCTGGCTCTGTGGGAAGTGTGAGTGCATTGGGATGGCTCTTGGGAGAGAGGTGGGTGCATTAGGGTTACTTATAATTTTTTAAAATAAAAGATACTTTATACCACTTTATACCAAAAAGAACAACTTTAAAAAATAATCCGGTTACATTTTTAAAAGACTAACAAACATATAGATCAGGAATGTCAAACTTGAAGCCCACTGAGGGGCACAAATTAAAACTGATAGCTTTCAGGGACACCAAAGAAAATGTACTTCCATTGGAAAATTGTAATTATTTATTTTTATAGATTATGTTTTAGGTATATTTTATAATACTTTTCAGGTCTTGTTTTAATATAGTACAATAATTTGATGTGTAAAATTGTTATTTACTCAAAATAATTTTTAATTTAAATATAAATTTAAGGTACTTTTAAATTTTGTACATGATACATAATTCGTTTTGTTGAAATAAAAACAAGTATAGACCATGGTCAATCAAATAGAACAGGCTTCTGTAAAAATTTCAGATACTTTGTAAGTTTGAGATTTTGCATAAACATAATTATTCGTGCAATTGCAAAAAATTGACATATATTTGATATAAAATTAATATACATTTTGTGATTTTATTTGGAAATAAATAAATAAAACCCAAAACATTAACAAAATATCTCCCTCCACTGCCCCAGAGCCAGGCACTCCCAAATCCCCGTTCTAACCCAATTCCTCTCTGTTCCCCCAAAGAACCCCCCTCTAACCCAATGCCTTCTCCCTCCCCCCCAGACCCAGGCACTCCCAGCCCCTCCCCCCATACCTAATACCTGGGTCCCAGAGCTAGTGTCGCTGCTGCCC